ATATAGTCTAAACTAGAATTCAATAATACTTCCCTATGGCAAATGCAAAATGGAAAAGTTACAATTCTTTGTAAAGCTGTAGATAATGTAAAATATGTAAAGGTTATAACAGTATTTTTCAACAGACCATAGCATCAAGTATGTTCATGCATCGAAGTATTTTATTATACTAGGATCAACTAAGACATTCATATATTGTAAAAATTGGGACTGTAGGAAAATGTCTAAAATCATGAAATGAAGCTTGTAGAGGAAAGTTTATGTGTAAGGTTTCTCAAACTAGAAAGAAACTTCAGTTGACAAAAAATTATTTTAAAAAATAATAATGTATTGCTTTCTAAGGCAAATATTTCCATCTGCTTCATATTCAGAAGGCGAAAGTGAGGGGAAAAGAATGGATATTTTATTCCACACCACGATGAAACAGTATTAATAACACATTCCTATTTACATTTAAGGCTATAATTATATATCAATATAAATTTAATCTTACATAAAAATTTAGAAGTACGAGGTATGATCATTGTGAAATAAAGTTATAGCTAGATTGATGCTCTGTGCAGCATTTTATTTTAATTTTCTCTTTAAGAGTTATATTATTATATTAAAGCATATAAAATTTGCAGTCAGCATAGCAAGCTTCAATCATTTTGGTTAATTGGTAACTTTGGTGGGACATAAAACATCGCTCTTTCCCAGTAGTTTCATTTTAAACAAATCAAGCTCACATATAAAAATAGCAAATTGCATTAAATTTTATATAAGACATTTTACAGCTTCTTATGTAGAAACAGCCATAAGCAGCTTTCTTTCATGGCAGACACCAGAGCAAACAGCTTTGAATCAAGTCTCTGGAAAGTCACCATTCAAAGAGATATGAGATTTAGGCTGTGTCAACTTAATGCTTAGAATACACCGTAAGAATTTTCAGGCTTACACAAACACTAAAATCCAAAACTGCCCCAAAGATGGAGTAGTAGGATCTGATATCTTTTTTTTTTTTTTTTTTTTTAGGTTGAAAAGTAAAGAATTGGGGTGTTTCTGCCACTTCTGAACATTTAATGTTTACACAAAGTCTCACTTCTAAAACTCTGGCAATACCTGGCTATCCACATTTTCTATAATGAAGTAAGATTGGCAGCAGAAGCCAGAGTCTCTTAGATATACCTGCTAATTGCTGCTGTTTTTATTCAACAACGTCTATTCTTAGCTGTGATTAATTTTAAACTCGAATTTAGAGTCTAGAGATGCTTTTTGCCTACTTTGTCATAAAGTTGCCTTAAAACCTTAGAAAGAATGTATTAATGTGGTGGCCACATTTTAAACAAATGAATTTCTGGGTTTTGGACACAGTACTGCTAGGCAGTAGGTTGACTGCAGAGTTTTCAAGTCAATATTTTCTTTCTTTCTATATGGAGAAAGTTCCAGAGGAGGGAAAGTAGTCGTGAAAATGGGTCCATTTTATCTCTTTGGATACATACATCTTATATTCAGAGCAAAATAACAGGTCAAGTGGCAAGCCACAATGCCAGCCAGTTTAGGAAAGTGAGCAGCCTCACTCTGGGCTCCAAAGCTGGACCAGGGCAAGTGTTTTGTTTTTCCTTAAATGGAATTGACTGTGTCACAAAAGTAAAAAAAAAAAAAAATCTTGAAGAAAGACATATGATCACAATAATGATGGTTATGTCTTCAGACAGTTTCCTGCTAAGTCTGTATATTTTCATATCACTCAATACCTCACATCACTAATCAAAGGACTTAAGGACTTGCATGGTTTCATTAGGTAACACTATCCCAGTGTCAAGCCTTCGAAAACTCATTGCTTAGAAAGAACTGGTTTTTGTTTTCCTTCTTTAAGGGGAAAAGTTAATTAGGCTGTTAAATACAGTTGGCAAAATTATCTCCCTCTTCCCCAGTTACAAAAAGTTATCTGGGGTTGGAAAATACCAATAACCAATAATTTATAAGCATTTTATATTTTCTTTCTTAGGTAATTAGTGACTCTGAGGGACAACCTAAATCTGTAGCTTATTTGTGGCTTTGTTTTTTTTGTTTGTTTTGTTTTGTTTTGTTTGTTACTATAACAATATATAATACCCAAAGTTCAAAAATGCAACTATTTTAAAACAGATTTTAAGTGATTAAATATTGGCTATGAAGAATAAAAAAGAATATATATATATATATATATATATATATATATAGGAATTGAGACATTTTTGAGGTTCAGCAAAATTAACACAGTAGAGTATTTGTTCACTGATTGTATTATGAATATTTTTACAATAAAATAGACTGTCATAATAGCCACAGAGTCTTAATTCTGAAACTTTGATTATTCATGGACTGCTTTGTACATATTTCTGCAAGCAAGTTTGAAAGCAATGGCTAGAGTCCAAAACCTCATTACTTAATGATAGTTCCCCTTATTCTTAACTTTAGCCATTGTTTCCAATTCTACCTTCCACATAGTAGTTATTTAATAAACATTTGTAAATGACTGTGTCCAATCAAAGTCTTTGATCTAAGAATGAATTTTATTTAAAATACAGGATCCAACCATGTAAATTTCTTAGAGAACCATCTACATAGTATCATCGAGACCTATGCTTTTCACATGTAACATACAGTATCTGTGGCATATTCTATACCCTATAGCACAGCATGTTGTGCACAGAACGGTTCTCCATGTCACTTCGACAGTTTTTGTGTTGATGAAATTGCCCAAGTCACATTACACGCAAACCTTCAGCTTAAATAAGAAATAGGCTCGCTGTTAACAACCTGGTCTGAGATGTTAACAATCCTTAGGCTGTTAATGTAACAACTGGTCATTAATGTGGTAATGACCAATTTAAGAGGAGATTGGTCTCTGAGAAATGAATATATTGGTGATTGGAACCATATTTGAAAGAGTAAGGTATATGTACACTAAGTTAACTGACATTAAAATAAAAGCTTAGCAGAAATACAAATCTTAATGACAAAAAGTAACATGCATTTTGTTCTTTTTAAAAAAAAGATGAAGACTCCAGATACAGAAACTATTCTGATAAATTCTCTTGGATGAAACAGTTAATTGAGATAATCAAATGCTAGGTTAACACTGTATTCTGTTTGTTATCTACCATAAGGAGAATAAAGCAAAACAAATCTAAGATTACTTTCTCTGCTATCAACACATTGAAAACGCATAACTATTTTACCCATGAAACAGGCAGACTCAACATTTCTGATTCAGAAATATCCCAAGCATTCAAACAACATTCTTTATACTTTCCTTTTTACTTACTAAAATGCCTTTTTTACTTACTAAAATGCCTACCCCATCTCAAAATGTATACACTCCCTGTTCGCCACTGCAACCTAAACCCACTTGATATACTGAAATTGTGCACAAATATAAGTCAAAGGGAGTCAAAAAGCTGTGGGTATCAGTTAGCACAGACAAAGAGAACCTGGAAAGCAACACGTCAGATCATGAAAAGCAAACACAAACGCTTTATCTGGAAACGAGGCACTCATTCACCATGAGCACAGGAGACATTTTTATTTCAAAGAAGAAAAGTTCAAAGACTGAAGAGTTCTGAAAGAATCCGTGTTGTAAGTTAACTCTGATTAGTTTTGCCACCATAATGAGGGAAACCCTGGCTCCTGAGAGTCACTTCCCATTGCTGGCACCTTGTGTGCTTCTGAGCTCTGGGGACACAGGGAAGTGGTGACAAGTACTTATAATTAGTGAGGAGGCTCTAAGCACAAGCCAGAAACAGTGCTGCCGGGGGAGGAAAGAATGTAAGAAACCACACTGGATTCGCCCTTATACAACTACCATTGATCAAAAGATATATGTATTAGGATAAAAATCTGCCTTTAAATAACTGAATTATAGACTAAGGAAAGACAGGTCAAATTTCTTAAGAACCACCTCCCAGAATGGCCAGGGTGGCTGGTGAAGGAGTTACTACCAATTGATAAATTTTGTGTCATAAGGAAAACGATTCAAATAAATAGCTTAATGTCAGGCTAGTAAAAAAAAAAAAAAAAAAAAAAAAAAAAGATTAATCGTATCAAATATGAAAACCGGAATGATGCCATATATCATTTCTCTAATTTGATAGATCCTACTTTATTAAGATAAGTAATTTGCAGCTAAGTCAAATCACAAAGTCCCATGAGAAAAAATACGTCTCCTTCAGTACCATTTCTGTGTTGACTAAAAGCAGGGAAGCTATGCTGAATGAACTTCAGGCCCTCATAACCATGGATATCCGCCCTGTCTTGAGACCATTTGGATGTTTGTACTTTGGAGGGTGGACACTGGTTCCCATCAACACTGGGGTCTTTACTGTTTCATTCTCCATAAAACCACAGGAGAGTCTGAGGCCATTCAGCATTGAAGCCATAGCTTCAAATGTCATGGGGTGGCAAGACACAGGTATACTTGTGTCAAGGTTCCAAAGCATTGAACTATTATAACTACTGAATACAAGTCAAGAATTTAAAACTGACTTCCTCTAACGTATGTGACACAGGAAAATTAGCTGAATAACCTGATTATTCAGTCCCACTAAAGTTGAACTTTTAAAAGTACAGAGCTAAAATGTTCAGCTATGCAATGGATGCATTTCTCTTTGCCAGATTCAACCAGCTCCATCTCTCTCTTATGCTTTAATGAAAGAAGCTACGTGGATGCCATTGTCATCTACGTACATCCTTGGCATTCGCTGCCATTTTCAATGTAAGTGATGAGTGACTGAGTCCTCCACCAGAGAATATAGACAAGCCAAATTAAAACACTAGATTTTGGTTGTAGTTGTTGGCTATCCATTAAACGGAAAGTTTGTGTGTCACGGGCCAACATTTTGAAGGCTAACAGGGTAACATCTTTCAAGAACATCAGTTGGTAGTTAAGGAAATCAAATAAACAAACCAAAAAATTTGTGTACAAATGTACTTTGAAGGGCACCCAGCCATCACTGGTGTGCAAAGACAACTCCTACCTCAGGTAATCTCGGCGACAGAGGATGAGGTTGGCTTTAGTGTATAGGGTGGAGCCCACCTCTCCCAAACGGCAGTCACAGCAGGCACACTTCAGGCAGTCCTCATGCCAGTATTTGTCCAGCGCCTTTAGGAGGTACCGATCCTTGATTTTGCGGTTGCAGCCAGCACAACCTTTCGGCTTGGTGTCTGGCTGAACTGAGAGCATTTGTATGCCTGGGGAAAAGAAAGTAGAAAGGAGAGCTGAGACTCAAAGACAGAAGAAAAGACAAGCAGTAACACTGCCTCTGCATTCCTTCCTTCCTCTGCCCCTCCCTCTCTCCTGCCCTCCTTCCCTCCCTCCATGCTGTATTCCAGTCAAACAACACTTTGGAAAGAAGCCTCAAACTTCGCAAAAATCTATATGATGACTCATTGACATGAAGCAGCATCGGTGATGAACTGGGGTTGTGTGTTGGACATTGTCATTGGATATGGGAGGTTAGATGTCCTTCAGTCATTTCCATACTGTTCCATTCTCCACAGAGAATGGAGTCCCCAGGAAGAACATGTGAGTACATTAATGGCAACCTAGAAAAGCAGACAACTGAAACTAGCTTATGCTTTACTGACCTGATGGGTATGAAAACTGTGCTTTGCTTAACTGTAGAAACAACTCATTTAACATGTGTGTGATGGAGGAAGTATGCACCCATGTGGGGCATTCAGAACCTTGCCTAGCGGTACAAATATTTATAGATAAGTACACCTGAAACTCATCAGTCCTATAGTGCTTACTTACATCTAAATACTTGCTTCTGTGTCCTTGGTATTTCAAAGTGTTCATCATGTAAAAATAGCAAGTTGTACTTATTTTCATACACATTAGTCCCTATTTATATTGAAAACTCATCACTTGATTATATAATATGTGCTCTACTATAAAACAAGTATAGTATTATGAAATTGATAGCCACAAGTATACACCTAATTTATAAGGGAAAGAAGAAACAATAGCAGTCTACGAATATACAGAATTACACAGTCATTCATAAACAGATACATATACAAAGTATACAAAGTATTCATATACTATTATTAAATATGGGGACATTTCAATATTTCAATGATGAATGTTGTTCATAAGCAAGGAATATAGCTGACTTCTATGGGTTTTACAACTTGACTGAAATATTTTCAATTAATTGAGTCTTCACTTTTGAGTTTTTCTTTATTGTGCCCCAAGTGTCATACACTCAGCCTTAAAAGAGAGACAGAGAGAGAGAAAGAGAGAGAGAGAGAGAAGCTGGCCAGCTATGCAAAGCTTCATTGTTATCAAATGATGGATTTGAGTTACTATAAAATACTGCAGACATCATCAATTCCCTTGTATCACAAACTATGCCACAGGGAGGCAGAGAAGCGAAGGGGCGCCTTGAAACCCGAGTGACAGTGGCCCTATGGACACGGTACCAGGTCTACCTGCAACCCACAGACCACCCTTTAGCACTTTTTTTTTCCTCTTGTAGGCATAAAGTTTTAAACTTAGATAGACGAAGATATAAAACACCAAATACAAATGCATTTAAGAGAGTTTCAGATGGGAAAATGAAGCATTTATGATTAATTTCTCAAGCTAGGTAAACCCTCTCCTTCCTTCTGATACTGTACGATAAAGGGTTCAACCCTCATTACTTCCTCTGCCTGTAAAAGGAAATCACATTGGAAAGAGGCATGAACACATGCCCACAGCTGAATGCGTCTCCCAGCTACCAATGGCACATGAACCACACATAATATGAGAACGTTCCTAAGCTTTCATTAGACAACAACTTGTGTGGAAGAGTGCCAGAGGAGGGAATGCAGGGAAGAAAGCAGGGCCGCTGTTCTGGGTGTCTAACAGGCATCGCATCGCTGGGGTGCTCTGAGCTGTGGACCAGCCGCTGATTTGTCCAGAAGAGCAGGTGGTATCCTGTAGCCTGCTTTCTGCTCTTTTTCTTTGAAGGAGCTAAAGGCCTAGTGTAGATTAATCATAACCCTTGATAGCTCTGCTAAATCTCACTCTCTAGAACTTCTAACAAATGAAGTTTCTTTGATCAGAACTAGTTATCCTTTGCTAGCAAGGTCCCACAAGGCATGAGTCCCATTAATTACAGAGCACAACAGGCCCAGGTGCCTCTTAGTCATATACCTAGGGGGGGAAGAGGGATTCTGATTTACTTAGGAAGTCCGGATTTCATGACTGAAAGCATCCAGAGGTATGCTAAAGGTAACCGTCCTAATTATCTAATTCAAAGTCTGCGTTTTTTTTTTTTTTACATCACAAACCTAAAAGATAAAAAAGGAGATTCTTCTTAGGAAGCTAAGCTCCATTATTTCCAATGTTCGTGACATTATTATTAAGTGTAAAGGGTCAGCTATCTTTATTCAAAATAAATTGTAACCAAGACAGCAGATACCAACATTTGGCACAAGGAATATTATACTGCTTGTCTTCACAAAACGTTTTTGTTGTGTTGACATTTTAATGTAGCACCCAGAGGCCAATTAATAACTGAAACTCTTACATTCTATTTGGTCTTGCACATAAAGAAGTTTGATATTTTCTATTCTATCCTCATATCTTTTTTAAAAAGAACACTACCCCTTTTCTGTTGCAAATGAAATTTGTTCCATTCTATGCATTAAAAAAATATAATGTAGGAAAACAATCACTTGGTAGTTACCTGAGTGCCAGGCACCTAAAAAAGCAGAAAGCACTGAGCAGTCTCTGCTCTTGATCCAAGAGAGTACGTCTGGGGAGAAGTATGTGTTCGTGGCTAAGAGATACTTCACGAGTTGCTCATAGCCCATCAGTACTCATAACTAGTTTTAGATTGGCGTGCAAATTGTTCTGAGGGAAATTCTTATTGCCTCTGAGACCCTGCCATTCTGAGTTATTTGACAGTTTAAGAGAAATCATAATTTTAAAAAAACGACATAAATAATAGCCTGTGCAGTGTGCTGTGCAGAAATAAGTAGAACCGTTTCATTTAAACTCTGGTGAGCTTTTAATTGCCTGGATTGCATTGTGAGAAGGCCTGACGGTTGATTGCATCCATTATGTTCCCTTGTTCTGTGCCATTCATCCGCACAGTCTTAGCTCCAGTAGTTAACACAACAAAGTAACCACAACTCCACAACACACAGGGGCTTAAAAAATAATCACAATAATGAAAGATGTGCAGCACTTAGGCACACTGTTTTTTATTTTTTTCGTTCTTCTTCTTCTTTTTTTTACACCAATGCATTATTTGGACTGATCACACAGAGTGAATGGAAAGCATTCTTTCCCTTTCAGAAGATTTACAGAGGACAATTTGGGAAAAGGAGAAGGGGCTCTGTCACGAAGGGCTTTTGGAAGAGAGGATGCTAAAATTGGGACTGCAGGTTTCGCAGCTGGGAGCAATGACATAGATTAAAAGAATTTGGCCAACACAGCCTCTCGATTGCCAAGAGTACCAAACAAAAGATTTTTCTCTCCTCCTGCCCATCTTCATCCCACTCCCAGTCACTCCCCCCAACCCAGATTGGAAAAACTGGATTGGGCCTAAAAGCTTGTTTCTCTCTGTTCACTGGCCCAGAGCACCCCTACAGGCTGCAGCCCCCTAAGGGAAAACAATGCAAATAGATGTCCCCAAATCTCTGGCACTAGAGCTGCTTAACTCTGTTCTGCCCCTTCAACTCCCAACCCCCCTCCGTGTCCTCCCGCCACCCTCCCCTTTTTGAGCAATGGAGCTGGGAACCAATTTGATTCCCTTTTTCTCCAATGCAGCTGCAAGGCTCAGAGATACTGACATTTCCCCACTCTTATCAGTTTAATTACAGTTACCATGGCAGCAAAGTGCTAGTGCTTGGCAAAGGCCAACAAGAGATTTGCAAGACTGGGTTCAATTTTGATGCAGCTCACATGCAAAATAAAAAAAAAAAAAAATAAGAAACATACATACACTCTAACAAAGAATCCCCTTGCGGAGTTTATGATCCAACCTTTTGTGGCTGTGTCTTTGCAGGCGTACGGGGACATTTTTGCAAAGGATGTACCAGTATTTATGGCACCTAGTGAGATTAATTGGTCGAAAGCAGCAGTCTTTAAAAGCAGTAGCAACAATAATATTTAATACCTTCAGCCACAGAAGAGCTGGCAGGCTTTGGAGCTAGCCACGAGTGCTGAGCGCCCCGAGGAAGTGCCATCTATGCTAGACTGTAACCTTACCAAAACTTTTCTCCTGTTTCTGCATGAGTTGACTTAGGCGTGCCTGAGCCTTCTGCAGCTTCGCATGGAGCACCAAGCCCACGGGCAGGAAGTAGAAGAGGGGAGTCACTTTTGGATTCAGGGCCCAAGCGTGGATCTGGTGAGCAGCGAACAGGGCCGAGGATCCACTATTGTGAGGCCACTTTGGGAGCTAGGGTCTAGTGGCAAGAGAGGCAGGCGGTGGGGGAAGGGACGAGGGAACATGTAAAATGATGGCGAATGACAAAGCCACATGCTTCCCTAACTCTGCCTGTAATCCTAAAATCCCAGCGGCCCCTTTTAGCTTCCTGGTAACAAATGGATTTGATTAAACCGTCACACGCAGTGTTAGCATAGCATATCGTGTTCGGTATGAAAAAGATCATAAATCTGACTTACATTTCATAACAGCAATCTGAGTAGCCCCTGCTAAAATGTGCTGAATCTCTAGACCTGTTAGGATGCAGGCACTTGGATTCAAGGAACCTGCCTCTACTGGACACTTGTCTCCTCTCTGCATGCCCGCACACAGTCACTTTTGCAACGCATGGAAGCAGTGTTTTGTTATTAAGACTGCCTTGGGTAGAAGCAGGGGTGTGGACAAGAACAAGGTTGTAATTTCAACTCTTTCTTTGGGGAGGGCATGAATTTCACCAATCAGGCATGGAGAGGTCTGAGAAAATACCCAAGACTGACACCACTTCTCTTAGTCTGGAAGCACCCCCTCCCCCCCAAAGAAACCTTTGCAAACTGTCTCAACCCCTCTTCCGGAGTAAGGGTGCCTGAATGCTGCAGCTCCCAATGAACTTTGTCTATTATGCTCTAGACTCCTACTTGAGATGTCGCGCTGCAGACGCACGCTCCCCCTCATCCTCAGGCATCCTCATCTTCCTTCCGCCCGGCATCTATTTCGTGTCTCATCATAAAAAGAATGATGCTTCCCATGATTTAAACAAAATAAACAAACAAAAATCGTCTCTGCAGACCTGCAGCCAGTGAAAGTTGCAGTGGCGATGGTGGGGATGGTCCGGGTGCCGCTTTACTTTATGCTTCATTGGGAGAGGACCGGGAAGAAGAAGAAGAAGAAAAAAAAAAAACCACCCAACATCCGCACACGCGCGCGCGCGCACCCGGAGACACACACAGCACAAATAAGCCGACGCGTGTGTACACAGCCTCTCACTTACCTTCTCAATTAAGCGATACAAGGGAGGGTGTTCAGTGAGCACAGAGGCTGCTTGGTAGCGCTTCTCCTTGGGAAAGGTCAAAAAGAAACATTGTTTGAAAAAAAAAAGGGGGGGTGGATCTCTATTTTTTTTTTTAAGTTTAAAATAATGAGGTCCTCCAGGATCCGCCAAGTACCAGTGTGGACTGCATGCGAGCCACAGGTGTCCTTCTTTTAGGCAACTGCAGTCCAGGGGGGATGTCTCTCTTGGTCCTGGCTCCAGACAACTTACCCCAGCAGCTTGCGAGGAGCCCGAGCTGAAGGGAGCCCCGACTCTCAGCCGCAAAACACAATCCCTTCCCAGCCAGACATAATACAGCCCAAGAAAAGGTCACCCAGTTATTACAGCGCCGCGGAGCCCAGGCAGCGCCTGTCAAGACCACAGTGGAGGCAGCTCCCTTCCGATTTAAGAGTATTTACCTCTCGCCCCCACCCCTCCCTCTCCTCTCCCTTCCTTCTCTCCCTCCCTCTAGCTGGCTTCCTCGCTGGCTCCCTCGCTAGGCTCGCTTGCTAGCTTGCTCTCTCTCTCCCTCTCTCTCTCTCTCCCCACTGTTCTGCAGCTCAGTCAAGTACAGCCGCCCTCGGAAAGTGCAAAAGCAGCCACGAGACAGATCCAGGCTTTGTTGCTAATTTCCCAGGGTGAAAATTGACAAGCCTGCCAGTGCAGTCAGCACAACCCAATGCATATGCTCCTGACAAACGCTGGGGACCATCCCCTCCCACCCTTTCCCATCACACAGAGACTGTGTGACCTCTACAGGACTGGACTCCCGGAAGGAAGGACCCTACCTCCTGGACTTACCCACAAGAAGAACCGCGAAAGAGCTCGGGAGGAGAAGGGTAGGGCTTCCTAAAATAATGGGGGCATTTTGGAATCGGATGGGCACGTTGAAAGCAAACTGCCCTCTGAATGTGTTACTGACTGTGCCAGTGGAGGAAGTTAGAATTAAAAGCCAAGGGAATCAAAGTGCTACCTGGGTACACTGGGGGGGGGGGAGCACAGTCCTTTCTTTTTAATAAATGTTTGGGAGGGGGGGTGAGGGTTGGGAGGGTCGGGTCTGCATGTGTCCAGGCTGTGACTTCCATTCAGAAACTCTCTGAAGTCCCTGCTCTGAAAGTCTTGGCACACAAACCCAGTACAGGCAATGCCACACACATATTTCTTCCTCTCTCGTAAGGCTCAAGAGCCAGACTGTGAACTTATACCTTGACAAAGGGTGATGAAGCCACAGTGGCCACTGAAACACACTTCCTGCAGATACTTGAACGCCTGGATTCATAACCTGCTTCAATGCTAACCCCCAAGCCACACTTTGGAACCAAGTGGGTCCCCTGGCCTTGCCCCTCTTACCTCCTGCCTTCATAGACTCATTTTAAGGCCTTGAAAGACACTTCCACGTTCTCTTTAAATCTGTTTCCTTGAAAGTGGTCCCATACCCCCTAATCTCCCCTCTTCATTCTGCTTCTCTGTAGATCACCAGCAACTTCAAAACACCTTCTTCTAAGTTTTCAAACTTGGCATTCCCCATTTGGCAGCTCTCGGAAGACCCCCTCAGCAGATCTCACAAAGCCTTGTCAAAAGATCAAACTTAAAAATAGTACAAATTTGAATGACACAGGCAGAGATGTTTTAAGTGCCAAGAAAGATTCAATTGTGGAACTAAATGAACAAACAAACAAATAATAATAAAATAACCCCCTCAAAAAAGTTCCTTTCCCCCTCTGCAACATCAACTTTAACCTAGATCTCCATTTTATTTTATTTTATTTTTAAGCAAAGAAGCCTCCTTGAATGCTTATGCTAAATTATGCTCCCCTGTATCCAGAGTCCTAACTCAACAAGGCTAACTTATTTTTTAGCCTCAAGCTTCAGAAAGCACATTCACAATCAAAGAGTATGTGGCTTGCTTTCTTACCACTTTCAAAAGCAACAAAACTCAGAACTAACCTGAACAATAAGGAAATTCAGACAGGCAGTCTACTGAGAACCCTTCAGCTGTTCAGTCTACAAGCAGACTTCTTAAG